GATAGCGACACCTTTCATGCATTCCTACAGATATACTGTAGTACTAGTAAGTTCTAAAAAGTTTGTATTTTAGCCAATGAAAATGGATTGAGATTTTGATTGGATGATAAAGTCGGCCCATCAATGGTCGGTCACGTTAGTGCATGCATTGCACAGTAGCATTCACATGGAAGAGGACTCTTTAATACTGGTTTACGCAAGTAAGCTATACCAGCCCCACGAGATTAATTGTCTGTCCGAAGCCTAAAAATGTCACATAGTTTAATCAAGATAAATATAGAGGTCAATATAATCCAGCAAACGTTAATCAAGATCATATATTCGGTCAAAAACTGAATAGTCAAAATATGCCTTTTAGGGACAATTCAAAGGTGTGAATTATCTGTTAACGGGATTTTCTGAGTGCAACACTAACGGGATCAAGTCGCTACGCGAAATCGATTTACAACACTTGCGAGTTCGCATTGGTGGCCATATGACCAGGAGTTCGTCGCACCTTGAGCGTTGCGTGGAGGTGCGCGGCCATTCCCAGCGTAGCGGAGGTAGGCTTGCTTCTGGTTTCTTGAGGGGATCGGCGCATTGCCAGGCGATGCGCCAAACCCCGGAGAATGAAGACTACACTTTGACGTAACTTATGTAGGTTCCAGAGTGCCGCGATGTATCAAGGCTATCGGTGGAGCACGTTGTTGTGAAGTACACATTTGGCATGTTTGGAGTTACAGTGGCTGATGGCACCGAGGGGACCAGTGGTTACGTTAACAGGCAAATATAGGTTTTGAGAGGATGTTTCTGAAGAGGATTATCAACAATTAATTATGCATGCTCGAAATATATGTTATGCCTTTTGATACAGTAAGGTATCAATTTCTATAGTATATTTGTAGTTTGGTACTGTTTTCAATTGTATCTCACAAGATATTAAGTTTTGGACATGATATGCAATGAAGGTTATTCTAATTGAGCTGAGTTCTATTTACAAATTTTCAGTAAAAATTCAATTTGCTTACAAAACACACATTTGTCCCCTCGGTGCCGTCACCCACTGTAAAGTAGTATTTCATGAGCGAAGCGCCATTTCTACATTCCTGCCAGCACACTAGCGTAGCGGCGTGTTACATACTACCGTATAACCCTCTCTTCAGTACCTATGATTTATCCGGTTCGACCTGTACGGTTTGGAACATATCGGACACTATTATGGTTCCGGTTGGGCGTGTATCTAGTTGTCTCTAATTGGACAGAAATACCCAATGATCATGCGTTAAAGGATTTCATCCAATGAAAAATAAGGCATGTTGTGGATTTACAGTTGACGACAATAACGAATGACCCCATGAAAAATGCATAGACTTGACAAGGTATAGATAGATATAAAGAGTTTTAGAGCGCTAGAGTTTGTGGAAAGTGGATAAATGTATATTCAAGATTATAAAGTCTCGTCGATGTCACTGTCACCCTCGTCGCTTTCACAGTCTCAGATGACTCCTCGTCCGACCCCAAGGCAACTTGTAATAGATCTTCGTATAATTTTTGTACATTCCCCTCGGCCAACGTCACACAACCCTTGATTGCATGATGCGTCAAGCTGTCAAATGCATCAATGAGTCACGCTTTCACCTCGGGAAACTTGGTCATGTCCGTGTACTGCCGCCCGACGTCATTTTTGACAATCGCCCACACTGTTTATATGGGCTGTAAATCTGAATGGTGCAGCGAAGTGAACACAACGGTGTGGCCGCGCCTCGTGCCCATATCCACCAACCACTGACCGTGAGTTGACAGCAATTTGAGCTGCCAGCTTGCTCCAAATGGAACTCTTTAACTCTGACACATCCGCTTCAACACCATAACACGTGCACGCTTGCAACAGCACCCCCTTTCGTCGCCCACCGGATAAAGTGTCTGCAGGTCGTCCCTTGTGATACTTGGTGTTATCCATTATAATGAGGGCGTTGGAGACACCTTCTCCGTCCAGCTCATCAGCAACCCTTTGAGCCACTTGACGTAGTCCACGTGGTTGAATATGGAATGGTACTGCTTGGGGGCTTTATCTGCGGTCGCTCTACCTGTGAAAATGTAGAGCGCTAACCATTTGCTCTACAACGTCGGGGAGTCCAAGATCGCAGCGATGAAGCAGTAGCGACGGTCCTTGCGCTTTTCCTTGGCGGCGATATCCATGTAGTCCGATGGGGCGTATAAGTCTTGGTTCCGGCACTTATAATGGTGGTGGATGTAGGACTCGTCAGTGTACAAAATGTGCGGGCATTGAGTAGACCGAATGTGGAGTTGCATCTGCTGCACGTATGCGTCGCGTGCAATGACGTTCTTGGTAGAAAGTGGTACGTCGACGTCTTCGGCTTCCCGCGCTTGTATCCCTGTTATTTTCAAAACTGTTGAACCCCCCGTAGCATTGCGTCGTACTGCTTGTTGTTCTCCTCGTCATAATCGAGCACGAACACCCCCTTGAGGTACACCGCGATATCAACGTCCGTCGTGTGGGTTGCCAAGTATGCAGAGGATGTCTAATCGCTCCTCTCTGGTCTAGTGGCGATGCCTGGCTGTCCTGACGAAGGCAAAGAATTCATCAACAACGAATCCATTGCCTTCAAACTCAAAATGGCGTGGCATTATTGTGTAGTGTTGCATCTATTATTGTCCGTGATGTCGACTTTTTTATGTTTGACAGTGTATAAATAATCAAGGTTTCGCATATGCATATATACTAAACCTCTATAAATTAATACCCAAAATCGCTAAAAGTTACACATGTTACAGTCTGTATTTGTTTTCTGGATGAAAATGGTCATGCATTCCAACGCTCTGGTCAGTATTTTTCAAGAGATATTTGTTTTCACGGTATTCAGTTGATACAGTGAAACGAGCAGCTTGTTCAGCCCGAGATATTGAAAAACGATCGTTATTTGATGTCATCCACTGTTGTAGGCCAATACGCATGCCTGAATTGTTTTCAAGGTACCGCTTGGAGCTGTACCGGTTTTGATCAGATTTCACTGACATTTTCATACAGTCCTGATGTAAACTATAGACGCACGTGAATTTTTGACATTTCTCAAAACTTATTTCGATTTGAAGCTCACTGATTTGATATGATACTTTAA